GTTGATTTTGTGATAGAAATGGGATTTAAAATCTGAAAATTTTGTTTATGTGGTTTAAGTTATGTTGAAGTGATAATATTGACTAAAAAAGCAGTCGTTGCCAAATTGAGTTCACTTAAACAATTTAACATGCAGAAAATTTTTCTATTTATGAATGCAATCAAATGTCTGATTTTTTTGCTAGTTTAAAATATATATTCTCCATGCCAGAATGTCTTTCAGGTATATTGAGTTTGAAAGTTTCTTATACATTGCTACTTCATATTAATGCTTGACTGTAATTTGTTTACATATATTCCTATGGTGTACTGCATCTGTAGTTATTCTATTTGGCTTGACTTCTGTTAGGTGTTTTAATGCACCAGGAGTACAGTGTGCTTGATTACAAAGAGAAAGTGGTTGATGGTTTCTATGATGTGTATGGGCCTTCCACAAATTCAGCACTCCAAGGAAAAATGCTATCTCTTGCAGATCTTGAGACAAATCTTGGGAATTATGGCTTTGAAGTTGTGATTGTGAATCGAACAATTGACCCTGTCTTAGAAGAATTGATGCAAATTGCACATTGTATTGCATTAGATTACCCGGCTAGTAACGTTAGTGTTTTAGTCCAAAAGCTTGCTGAATTTGTTACAGGCCATATGGGTGGACCCGTTAAGGATGCTGATATAATGTTGGCAAGGTGGATGGATAGGAGCATGGAATTGAGAACATCTCTTCATACAAGTTTATTGCCTATTGGGTCCATTAATATAGGATTGTCTCGGCATCATGCTTTACTTTTCAAGGTTAGTTATTTTGTTTTTTGTTGACTTTCAAGGTTAGTTATTAAACTTAAACTTGTGGCTCTAGTCTCCACTGGCCAACTTTCTGTTACCGTAATATATTTACCATTTCTACACCTCTTATTAAATGTGAGTTCATGTAACATGAAAAGGGAAAGACATGGCTCTGTCTACTTTTTAGAGTTATGTTTGTATCTTGAGGAAGATCCTTCTTCTTCCCTTTTTTTTCTTCTTCTTTTTTTTTTTGGTAAGATTTAAGTATCATGAGAATCTGTGATCACATTGGTTGATGGAACTTCAGAGCAGAGTTTAATATTATCAAGAAGAACTATTTATTTTTGGAATGAGAAATATTAGAAATGAAAGGAATTTTTTGAGATATATTATTATTAGAAGTTATGCCCTTTGTCACTGTCTCTACAGCTGTCATTCTAAAACCTCATGATTTGAACTTTCTGTTGATTGTTTTGATTACTGAGGTGTAATCCATTGTATAGCAACAATCTGACAGACTTGGTTTCCATTTCATCAGAAATTGGTTGTTAAAATCAAGTTTGCTTCTTTAATGCTGTTATTCTTCACATTTAAAAGATGCTACTAAAGGCTTTCTGAAAAATAAAAGTTCATGCCTCATTCTTTGAGCTAATAAATATTAGATCAAAATGTAGGCTAAGCTTTCTATTTATCCAACAGCTGTATATTTCTTTTCTTGGCACCCTTGTTTGTAGGTATTGGCTGATAATATAAAGTTACCTTGTAGACTTGTAAAAGGCAGTCATTACACTGGGGTTGAGGATGATGCTGTAAACATGGTTAGGCTGGAGGATGAAAGGTAGTAGTCTGTACTTATTTTTGAATCAATCTCTGACCTCTTCAGTTCTGATGTTTTGTTTCGTTGCCTTAAGGGATTTTTTGGTTGATCTCATGGCAGCTCCTGGGACACTTATACCTGCTGATATTTTCAGTGCAAAGGATACCGCTTTGAAGTCATATAATCCATCACTAAGCAAAATCCCGACTATTTAGTTTTCTGATGATGTTGGAGGTGTTCACCCAAGAGCCAAATTAAATGGTGAAGGCAGTAGCCAAAGTTCTGCAATTAATGGTGGTTTTCCCTCAGATAGGGGGATCAAGTTCAAAAAACACAGAATACTTATATTCATTCTCAGGTCCAAGTGGTGACTCTGCTGTTGTCACTTCCATAAT